GATGTCACTGTTTGGCACAATAGTCTAGGACATCTGTCCTTTTCAATACTCATTCAGCTTCCTGTTTTACTGAATCAAAATGTTTCTACATATAATAATCCATGTGATATATGTCATTATTAAAGACAAAAGGCTTATGCATCTTATCCTTTTGAACTTGTGCACTGTGATATATGGGGACCCTTCTCAGTTCCTTCATACAATGGCCATAAATATTTTCTTACTGTTTTAGATGATTTTAGCAGGACTACATGGATATATCCCTTGCTGTCAAAATCTGATACTGCTGATCATTTACTGCATTTTTCCAATATGGTTAAAACTCAGTTTGCCAAAACTATTAAATGCATAAGAACTGACAATGGCACAGAGTATTTCATGCACAAATTTTTTTCATTCCGCTAGCATTATTCATCAAAGAAGTTGTGTTGAAAATCCTCAACAAAATGGGAGAGTGAAAAGAAAGCATCAACATATTTTACAAGTTGCTAGAGCAATCATGTTTCATGCACATCTTCCTTTACAATTTTGGGTTGATTGTGTCCTTTCTGTTGTCCACATTATTACAGAGTATCTTCTTCTGTTTTAAACAACATAACTCCTTATGAAATGCTTTACAACAAAGCCCCTACTTATGAGCATTTAAGAACCATTGGTTGTTTATGTTATGCATCTACATTACATTCTCATAGATCAAAATTTGATCATACATCATCTAAATGCATCTTACTTGGATATCCATTAGGTTGTAAAGGGTATAAACTTTACAACTTGGAAACCAAGAATACATTGATTTCCAGGAATGTGTTCTTCTATGAGTCTGTATTTCCTTTCAAAACTCCTGATACTTTATCTGACAATTCTCCTTTCTTTCCTCAACCTACATAATTCCAATTTGATTCTTCTCAACCTCTACAGGAAAATATTCCACCTACCATTACTTTTGCTCCATCTCCAATATTTTTTAATTCTCAAACACAACTTTCACAATCTACAACTCCTACACATCCTTCTTCTCCTATACATCCTTCTTCTCCTATACAACCTTCTTCTCCTATTATTCAACAACATCCTTCTAATTCTCCCACTTTGAGAAGATCTAGCAGAACCAGAAAAACCCCATCCTACTTAAACATATATAAACATTCTACCCCATACTCTTCTAATCTATCTTTCTGTGACTCACAGACTGGCACATCTAGGACATGCCCATATCCTATGCATGATTTTCTATCTATGGATAGACTCAATGCATCACATTCATGCTTTACTGCATCTATTACATGTATTCCAGAGCCTAAAGCGTATAAATAGGCTGTAAAAGATCCAAACTGGAAGGAAGCCATGTCTAAGGAAATTGCTGTCGTGGAACAGACCAACACTTGGGTACTTATTGAGTTACCCCTAGGTAAGAACTGCATTGGTTGTAAGTGGGTGTACAAGGTAAAGTGTAATTCTGATGGCACCTTAGGTAGATATAAATCTAGGCTAGTTGCTAAAGGGTATACACAGGAGGAAGGTATTGACTATTTTGATACCTTTTCCTGTTGCTAAAATTACCACTTTTAGAACTATGTTGGCCATTGCATCTATCAAAAATTGCTCTCTTTATCAGTTAGATGTCAACAATGCGTTCTTGCATGGTGATTTAAATAGGATATGTATATGACTCCACCTTCTGGATACATACAAACTGATTCAAACAAAGTTTGCAAATTAGTTAAAAGCTTATATGGTCTTAAACAAGCTTTCAGGCAGTGGTTTCATAAACTTACCTCATGTTTACTAAATTTTGGATATTCTCAGTCTACTACTGATTGTAGTCTGTTTATAAAATCATCTTCTACATTCTTTACTTCCCTTTTGGTATATGTTGATGATATCATACTTGGTAGCAATGATATGTTTGAAATCAATGTTGTCAAGTCACATCTCCATGAGTGTTTCACCATTAAAGATTGGGGTAAACTGAAATACATTTTAGGTATTGAAGTTGCTCAATCTGATAAAGGCATAAACCTTTGCCAACGAAAATATGCTTTAGACATTTTACATGATACTGGATATCTTGATTCTAAACCTGCTAATTCTCCTATGGATTCACCTGAAACTCACTTTTGCTTCTAATGAATATGAACCTATTGATGCTACTGCTTATAGAAAACTCATAGGCAAGTTACTTTATCTTATTATTACTAGACCTGACCTTTCATTTTGCATTTAAGCATTAAGTCAACATTTGATTTCTCCCACACAACAGCATCTCACAGTTGCATACAGAGTACTCAGGTATCTAAAAAACACAGTTGGCAAAGGTATTTTCTACCCCAGAAACTCCTCTTTTGCTTTACATGCATTTTCAGACAGTTATTGGGCTGGGTGTGTTGATACTAGGAGAAGTATCACTAATTATGCATTTTTTCTTAGTGATTCTATTATTTCATGGAAATCTAAAAAGCAGCAAACTGTTAGTAGATCATCTGCTAAATCTGAATATAGGGCACTTGCCTCTACATCTTGTGAGGCCTAATGGCTAATATACCTACTTACCGATTTTCATATTGCTCAATCATTTCATGTAACTATTTTTTCAGATAGTAAATCAGCAATTGCATTAGCCAACAATCATGTCCAGCATGAAAGAACCAAGAATATTGAAATAGACTGTCATCTGGTTAGGGAAAAGCTCTTCACAGACACTATTCAGCTGCAGTTTGTTCCTTTCTCAGAACAATTTGCAGATATCCTCACCAAACCCCTTGGAGTTCAAGCTTTCCATCACAATTTGTCCAAGATGAACATGTTAAACATCCATGCTCCTCTTGAGGGGAGGGGGGGAGTGTTAGAATATAAAATAGCTTTTAGCCTTTTAGATATATTTCCTATGTAAAACATGTTTTTATGTATTAGCACTTTTAATGTATTTGCATAATCTGCCCTAGTATAAAAGGGTTGTAACCCAAATTGTACAAACACTTTTTTTTTTGGCATAATTTGAGATTAATCTTTCATTTCTTTCTCTTTCTCTCTCTTTCTCTCGTGCGCTCTTTCATTTTCTCTTTTGATTTCGCACAAATCTGTGCAAAACTGATTTTATCACTAAGTAAACACCAAATAATATTCTCTTTTCCATTGCCAAATATAAAGAATGAAGATTTTAAATTTGTACAACAAAGTTTCTTAAATAAATGGAATTCATCTACTGATGAATCTATTTGTGTACTCCTAAAAAGATTCATTCAGACAAAGAGCATTACACACGAGTTTGATATCTTGTTGGCACTCCGCATGATTAACCAAGCATGTTTGACAGAAGTTGATCTCAATCTCATCTTGAGGGAATGTTTCGTCACGTTCATGGTCCT